ACGCTTAATAGCCTAGTTTCTCGAGAGTTTGAAAATGTTGCAATAATGTCTCCATATAGAACATGTATCTAGCTTTCCATCGATGTAAAAAGATTTAAGGTCCAATCCGTCATTCCGATGCAGTTGCGCACAATGTAACAGAGGCAGCACTTGACTAGTGCACTTACCAGTACCCTGTAGGAAATACTCCAGTCCATTCCTTCGCTTACGGCGAGTAGGTGACCTCTTGCATGCACTAGCTGCCATCGCGGCATGGCACCAACATTGCGCCTCCTCTTATACTCCAACTGCATGAATGTCGTGTCACAAATCTTTAATCTGTTGACATCATTGGAAAGCCGAATAAATCTTTTATACGGAGGTGCTATTGCAGTTTAAGCAAATTTTTTGGGAGCAGTGCTGCGGAGTGATAATTTAAGAAAGTTTTTTTTGGCCCACCCTGTACAAGCCCTGCATTTTGTGAAAACCCTTGAATGTTAGTGGACACGCGCGTGGACGTGCGTGTGCACGTGCGTGTGCACGGGTGCGTCTGTCCGCCTGCCCCAGCGTTGACGCCGAGGACACATGGCACGCACAGTGGGAAACGGCCTCGAGTCCGAAAGGAATGACGTTGAGAAATGGAGATGACCTATTAACTCCCTTTCAGTCGCTTCATTCTCGGAAATAAAGATAAAGCTTTTCTGAAAGACGCATAATATTGAGCTACAGAGAAATGCCTTAGCTAAAATTGACATTTCCATTACATTTTACGAGTGTGATCCCAATGATGCGGGAATTTTCCAAAAAGTTGAAATAATGATCTTCTACATTTGCCATTTACAGAAATTAAGGCTCCCCAAGTAGCAAATAATAACAAAAATAAATCCATTGGACATCCGCTAAACATTTGCATATGCAGGCGGGGATGGCTGAATTGCAAAATCTCATATCGCAATTAATTTCATTTTCTCCAAAAATACTCAATTTCATTACGACCTTACGCGAAAATTAAAGCTCCTGTCCCGTCGGATTCAGCAAAACTTTCGAGAAAAAACCACAGGAAGTACTTTTTCCCCTCCTTTGCAGACGGAGAGTTTGAACGTTCCTAAATGTGAAGTCTTCGACTTTTCGACGAACGACCCAGGTAGTACCACGTTGGGCCCACGTTGACTGGGAGTGGGGAAGAAAGGGCCCACATCGCAGGGAGCAGTGACCCACGTAGGCCCCATATCGGCGCAAGGGCAGCAGCCAGCATTTTCCCTTGCTCAGGGCAAGACATCTATATCAGATATTAGAACGAAAAAGCTTTCCACAAACGAAGCGAGATGGCACCTACGTAGCTGCTATTTTAGTGGTATGAGGGAATACTCGTTTGAAGACCACAGTACCTTTCATGCTGTACTTGATCTTTTTCCACAGACAAGGTAGGGTAGGGGTGTCAAACTCAAATCGGTTACCGGCCGTATCCCTTACGCTGCAGATGCCTGCGGGCCCCTCTCGTACTTTTTTCATCGAAATTTGTGCTGATGAAGTCCAAGAACAGACGGCGAACCGGATGAAACACCTCTGTGGGCCGGATCCGGCCCTCGGGCCGTATGTTTGACACACATGGCATGGGGAAAGACACTCGAATTCCTCAATTCGTTTGTGAAAACATGTTAAGCAGTCCGAAGGATCGCTTCTCATCAGGCACGCCGTTCGACCTTCAGAGGGATTCGACCTTTAGATCCTGCAGGGCAGTTCCAAGCGGTGGATGATCCGCCGTCCAACTTTCGGTGTCTCTAATGTATTGATGCACATGCATCATGATGGGTTTTCTGGGTATTCATTATGATGCACATAATCATAATGAACATCATAATGAATAATCAGAATGCATCTCTCCACATATCCCGAGGAAGCGTAAAAGTATTAGTCTTTTTGCCGACTGATGTCCCACGAGAAATGAAACTGACACGGTTATATTCCACCATATTGACTTTCATGACGAAATTGAAAACACTCTCTGCAAACCGCAAGTGAAGGGGCTTACACTTTCCGTAAACATTCTGGAGGGACCACAGAGTAAATTTATTCATATGGTTTCTGTATCCATGCTGCTATTAGGAAATATATGTTTTAAGTTCCTGGAGGCTCATTTTAACTTTAGGGGGTCATAAGATGAAGAATCGCATGCATATGACTTTTCAGACATCGATGCATCGAATTACAGAGAAAACTGGATTAATGAACCGGTCTAAACAGTTCGACAATTCAATAAAACCATTTTTAATTAACAACAAACTAATTATTCAGCCTGTTAGGGATTCATTGTGAAGGGCCATATTGCGACTGTCAGAAGCACAGATAAGAGAGCACAGAGATTAGCGGATTGTACCTTGGGTTTTGAAAAATATTCATCAAGAAATGAAAAAGGGCTTTAACAATCGGGAAAAAAACGATAACATTATATTTTCACGAGAGCGCAATCCGACGATGTATTTGTTTTAAATGTTACAAAATGTTCAATGTTCAAAACTACCCTTAATAAATCATTTCCTCTTCCATTATATCCTCATTACCAAATGGAGGATATGGGAAGAGTCAAGAAAATAATGATGAAAATCATGATGAATGACATTGCGTTAATGTTTTCTTTCCTCGACAAGGAATTGAAAGGGTTTTGGAGGTTTTATGGTGATGCTGTCTACGCCCTCGGCTTTGGGATGAGGAAGTCCGGTCGTGGTGCGAAACGTGAATTTCTGCATGAAGATGGCAATGAACAAGAAGAGTTCCATC